TATAAAAAGCTTGATTATAATTTAACCACATAATCAACAAAGGACGAATGAGTGAAGGAGTCAACAGAGCGCAGGCTCAGGGCCCCTCAGGTCTGAGGACCCATGGTCTGCAAAATATCTGAAAAAGAGACACAAACCAGTCACAGACAGACACAAAATAAATACAAAACCACAATGATGAGATGAACATCTACATCTTACAAAAACACAAAATGTCCACAAACCACAGAGATGCATCATAAGGAAGCACGAAACAAAACAATCACATAGAGACACATGACCACAAACGTCTTTCTTTATATGTTTATTTTTCGTATCTTTTTATATTGTGCTGTGTAAGTTCTTTGGTATTAAGTTCTTTTTATAATCGTCACTGTCTTGTCATCATTTCTTTTATTATTTTGACTGTATCTTCTCTTTGCCTGTGACCAAACTGTCGCAGCTGCAACATCTTGTCGACTAAAAACTCTCCTTCATCAAGGTCATCCCAAAAACTCGCTGCCATCATCATCATTAACAAAACTGCTTCGTTTTCCAGAAACAAAAAACAGCCTCGTCTGCGTAAATATAACACGACATTAAACCTAAGCGGCCGAGCCCTTTACACACGCACACACTCACACCCACACACCCTTTTTCTTCTGGCGGTTAGCAGTTAATAAATACAGGAAATGAGCAGAGAGAGCTCATTAATATCAGTGAAGGTGAGCAGCTAACAGCCCCAGGAGGCTGTGGGTGTTTATAAAGGAAATGAATGGAGAGAAATGACCGGAGCTATTGCTAACACGCACACACACACAGAGTGAGGGGGGGGGAAGACACTCTTCTACAGACTACATATGTTTACATATATGAGTATACATATTTAGATTATTCTTTGACTGCTCATTCTTCACTTCCTTGTTTTCCCTTCTTTCTTCTTCGCTTCCGTTTCAGGACATCCATCAACAGGAAACCAAAATGCGTGTGTGTGTGTGTGTGTGTGTGTGTGTGTGTGTGTGTGTGTGACCTTGGCTGGACTAATTATTTATATGGAGGACACGGGGGAGAGCACATTTTTCTGCCTCTAATGATTCATAAACAATTTTAACAGGATCAACTCCATCAGGACCCTAATTAGTCGATGTGACACACACACAAACACACACACACACAAACACACACACACACACACACCGAGAGAGAGAGAGAACTCTGTTATATTATAGTGGACATCATCATGTAGCACCAGTTGTCATACTATATGTGTAAGTGCATTCTTGGGTCACATTAGAGAATGTTAGTGAAAAAGAAAATATAAACTACAGAATGTGCCTTTAGTTATTGTTATTTTGATAAATATTAGTCTCAAACCAACAACCAAAAAATACAATTCATTAACATTGTTTCTTGTCTGTTCTGAACCAGAGCACCAGTCTCAGATATAACACTCTGTGTATGTGGAGGAGCTGATCCACACTGAGCCGGACTGATCCAGGATAAGTCTGGATGTATTTTCTGTACCTCAGCTTTGATCTGCCTCCTTCCTTTCTGAGAGCGTTTCACCATGACTGAGCAGTGAGGACAAGGAGCAATTTAAACCGGCATATTTCATCGAATTATTGTCACAGCCAGGCACAAAGACTCTACTCATGTAGAGTTTTCATTGTAGTCAGTGTCCTTTATATGTTTGGACTTTTTTGCTGTTTTTTAAATGTGAAGTTTCCTGCCATGGTGGGACAATAGGGTTCTAATGTGTTCTAAATATAAAATATGATATAATGTGTTATACTCAATATATCTTTCACACAAATATAGTAGCTTCATTACCATT